CACTTAAATGACTGGAAAGTTAACGATAAATATAGAGATAAATGGGTGGAGGGAGGGAGGGAGGGAGGGAGGGAGGGAGGGCACAGGACAGTGAAGGCCCTCTGTGTGGCACCACTGTTGAGGGTCATTCACTCTATGGTGGACACGTTAATTACAGTATATGTGTATATGTATGTATATGTGTATGTGTGTGTATACATATATGTATATGTACTGTCAATGAATATGATGCATCTCTTTGTGTACGAACCTTTGTCCTGCATGGCAGTGAACAGTGACATTTCCCATATGAATCTGATCTCTATACATTTATAGCTGTTAATGAATATGATGTATTTCTTTGTGTATGAACCTCTGTCCTGCGTGGCAGTGAGAAGTGATACCACCCTCAGTGTCAAGACCTGACTGAATTACTCAGAATAGGCAACTGTACTACAAGCTCTGCCAATACATTTGTTAAACTTAAAAAAAAAAAACTGTGTTAATTCAGGCGTGTGAGAACATACCACAACACAGGACAAACTTTCTATACGAGTCGATGAAAATTATCTAGACCAAACTAATGTACACCATGATGTTGTGGTTCTTATACAATCCTGTTATTATTGTTATTACTGTTACCAAACTACATGTGATGTTGTAGTTATATATAATATTGTTTTTTATTTTTAGTATTATATCTGTCCAGCTGCTGTAGTTTTGTTAATATATCTCACATACTGTACATCCCGGGTTTTTAGTTATGAAGGGACGTCAGATCATCCCATCGTAGCAACTGACTCAAATATAACTAGGCCACAGTAGGGTAATACTGAGGTACGGTTACCAGGCACTGAGCGCCGCCACCCGGGCACAGCGTGACTTATGAACCCAGTGAGGTCTATTGAGGTGGGAAGTGGTTCGTCAACATGAGATTTTGAGTGTACGGTGTTCCTAACTTCTCGTGTTGTGTGAATTTAAATGACCTTCACTCCGTCAAGGTGACAGGAGTTAATATAACCACTTGTATATTTCATTTTAACTCAAATCCCAAATTTCGGGTCAAAAGCTGCAGGGAATCTTAGGAATGCAAATGACACAATCGGAGAGTAAACATGTTAACCTATAACTCACGAAATTCATTTGAATCGGATATCGGGAAGAAAGTTTCTAAGCCGTAGTGGGGTAGGGGGTGGTTTGGGTGGTTAATGTGGGGGGGGGGATAGATCATGGTGATTCAAGTGCCAAGGGTAGTCAGGAGAAGGTCATGGGGGTCAGGAATGGGCCATGGGGGTCAGGAGCGAATCATATGGATAAGGAGTAGGTCATGAGATGGGTTCGGGGTGGGATTGTATTTTGGAACTGTTCATCGATTCCCATGGTCTATATAACTCACGAACGATATATAACAATAGTCAGCCAAATTCCAATAATATTTATAACAATATCTGGAGTCTACTTTTGGATCATGTTTGTGACTGATTTATACGTAATGAACAATAGTTACTTTATATACAGGTAAAATAAGTCAACCAAAACTCATTAACCCCCAAAAAATCCGAGGAAAAGAAACATTAAAATCCCAATCTTCATAACCAGATAGAGTTGATTATTGTTTACCAAGGTTTTATATACTGTACCTGCACTGTCTATGTACAGTTGCGGACTAAAAGAATTCGACAGGGAGGGAGGGAGGTGGTGCCTGGTAGACTTGGCACCGTCGCATCGGGGTGACGGTAAATAGTCTCTATAAACATTAAACATTTTATGGCATTTTTCGTGATTATTCTGGTGTATTGAGTTATTTACATCACATGTTAGTGCAAGATGCGTCTGCCTCATAATTAAACTGAAAAATATCAATTTGTGGTGTGAAAAGAAAATCGCAGACTTTTTGTTGCCTCCTGTATGTAACGTGTCAAGCGTTCATCACACTCCGTCCCCTCCCTACCTGCCGAATTCATTTTATCCACAACAGTACATTGTGTACCTGGATTCTATATACTGTATACACATACTGAACCAATGTGAACTTGTATGGCGATTTTACTTATTGAATCTCTCTCTCTCTCTCTCTCTCTCTCTCTCTCTCTCTCTCTCTCATTTAATTGACCAGCATACATGTATATAATTACCCTCTCCAGTTGCTAGTTACATCAATAATAAGCTCCGGCTACTTACTGTATCTCCAACTATCGACAGGTATGGTAACATAAAGAGCTATTTTGTCAAGGCGTCCATACCTTGATGACACGAGAGAGAGAGAGAGAGAGAGAGAGAGAGAGAGAGAGAGAGAGAGAGAGAGAGAGAGAGAGAGAGAGAGAGAGAGAGAGAGAGAGTGTAACGACGACTATATACGACACGAACACTACTTATTATGTCCCGGTCCCTCATGCCCTGGAGAACGAGGAGGAGCAGGAGGAAGAGAATAAAGAGGGAGAGAACGAGAAGGAAGGGAGGAAGACGAGGAGCAGAAGGAAGAGAATGAGCAGAAAGAAGAAGAGCAGAAAAAAGAAGACTAGAAGGAAGAGGAGGAGCAGAAAGAGAAGACCAAAACAAGAAGGAAAATAAAGAGAATGATTGGAGAAGTATACGAAGGAGAAATAGCAGAAGACGAAGGAGGAAGAGAAGGAGTTGGAATTTTAACAGAAAGAGACGGAGATTGACGAGTAGAGTAAAAGACTGAGGTTGGCGGAAGAAGGAAAGGAAATGACGTTTAGGGAAGGGGAGGGGGGGAGAAGTGTTTGGCAGAAGGAATGACGTGGCTAGATGTGTTAAGAAACGGGAATTGAGGGAGGGAGATCAGACAATGTATAAGAGAGAAACGGTGAATAAAGACACGAGAAATAGAGAGACAAAACAAAACAAAGAATAAAGAAGGAAGAACAAATGACAAGACAAAAAGACTTAGAGAGAGAGAGAAGAGCTGAGTGATTATGACGGAGGGTTTTCTCTCTCAGCTCCAGTTAGTAAAATTCATTCCTGACTTTCTTTTTCCTTCTGGGTCATATACACCATTCACTCGCTCTCTTCTTTCTTACTCCTCCTCTGCTCATGACACACACACACACACACACACACACACACAGGGGAAATTTGTCACCACGCTTTCTCTCGTCTGTTCACCTCGCCTCCAGTAGTACAGTCTCTCCACCACATAGGCCCATGTGGCTATGTGGTCTCATAACACAACATTCCTTCAGTGGTGTAGCTCATAACACAACATTCCTTCAGTGGCGTAGCTCATAATACAACATTCCTTCAGTGGTGTAGCTCATAATACAACATTCCTCCAGTGGTGTAGCTCACAACACAACATTCCTTCAGTGGTGTAGCTCACAACATATTTAGCTCACAACATATTTCCTCCAGTTCTAGGTTTTCACAACACAAACTTTTCCGTACTGTGAGGTCCAAGACACAGTAAACTTCCTTAGCGGCCCGGGCGTCGGAACACAACAAACTTCTATTAAGTTGTTCGCCACAGAGCAAACTTCCTCCCTCTGGTGCGTCGTCCAAGTTACAACAAAGTTTACAGCGTTATTTTCATAAGCAACATATATAAGGCTCTCAGAATGCAATATGACACAACACCACATCTCAGGTAAATTTTACGACACAAGATGTTTTACGTGATAATACTGTATAAAGTTGTAACAGGTTACATCATACGTGTTGGCAAGAAGTCACATCAGCGGTGGTGTAGCGAGTTAAAATTGACCAAATACAGAACTGAATAACTTCCTGTACCTGCCAATTAACATGAGATTTAATGTCAGGGCTCACAACATGGGTCATTTAACATGATACTGTCAGCACTTACATCATGGGTCACCTAACATAATTGAGTGAGACTTACATCATGGGTTAATTAACTAACATGAGTGTCAGGGGTGAGGTGGGAGGCGAAGCTTACAACGACCTCCGCTGGCGACGACCGACACTTTCCAGTTTGTTTATGCATGTTCAGACCGAGTCCCTCCTCCTCCGTATTCATCTACACACTATGAATATGTATGCTAACTACCTACCCATGTATAAACGCATGTATATGGTCTATTCACCATCTACTACAATATTTAAAGAACTTATAAACGTTTCCATTTTTTATTTTTTAATGGATTGAAAGTTTTATTTCTGTATTTCTTTTATCACGGCACCATTAGTCTCCTCTATAACCCCTGCAAAACGTTTATTGAATCTGAGGCTTTAGTCTATGGAATATTTTCAGTCGTTGTTTACATTTTCAGTTTCGTCGGCAAAGCCAGTGACTTAATGTCCAAAGTGTTGATGTGTTTGTTTTATGTTTTTATGTGTGCTAACCATGGTGTTTTAATTGACCGTCCGCCCTCCTCTGATTCGCCCCATTAACTGCCTCGAAAAGTCATCTTCATCCAGGCAGCGCTGTTTACAGTGGTTGCCAAATGGGATTATTAATGATGTTATGGTAATTTATGTGAGGCAAGCTTACATAGATGTTCCAGTGCACTCTCGCACGTACGCGCACACACACGCACACACAATTCCAGTAATAAACATAATTACAAAATGCACCAGAGTGATCCTTGTCTGAGTTGTATCATGCATTATTCCTGGAGACTTGCCGCAGAACCCAAGTATTACCACGACGTAATCTGGAATAATACCTTGCCAGAGCCATGCTGTTTAGGGGGGGGGGGAACCTGGGCCCATCCTGTGTTGGTGGTGGAGGTTCAGTGTGTGTGGGAGACTCTGTAAGTGTTAGTGGAGTTTCAGTGCAAGGGAAACTGTATGTGGTGATGGTGGTGGAGGTTCAGTGTGTGGGAGACTGTCTGTAAGTGTTGGTGTTTCAGTGTGTGGGGAACTGTAAGTGGTGGTGGTCCAGAGTGTGGGCGACTGTATGTAAGTGGTAGTGGTGGGGAAGGGGGGGTGTGGTGGAGGTTGGGTAATGGTGGTGGTTCAGAGTGTGGGCGACTGTCTGTAAGTCCAGTCTACCTAGTGTTAATTTTCGCATATTATGTGCGTGCGTACCTGCCATCTACCTGCAGGTTGCCACATGGAGTTAACTCTGGTGCTGTGTGTGAACGGGAAGTATTTCGCATAAAATTATATCTTCTCTTCTTCACCATATTGAGTTTTTGGTCCGGTTGATATTTCTTCAGCCTTTACTTCTTGTTCAATGCTAAGGGGAGTATTTATGTTTACTGTTTCCTCTAGTGCAGGGATCTACTTCAGTGTGAGAGTAGTTGTTACCCAAGCCCACCTTTCATACAGCGTTACACCTACAGCAGAATAACGAAGGTTCCGCGTATAATGACAGAAAGAATGTATTGCTTATTTTTACAGTTTGGGGCTGATAGTCTCTACACACGCCTTCCACGCCTTGTTGGGCTACAGTATATACAATGTGTGAGTAGCACTTTCTAGGTTCATCCTCCACACAGTGTTGCGCCCAGGATAGTTTGGCAGCAGTCAGTAGAAACACTTTTATTAGCTTGACAAAATGACAGCTATTGTATGTCGTCTGCTGAGCCTCGTACTGAGTGGCACCGAGAGACACTATACCAATAACATTCTTCCTGCCGCCTGGAGGCTGAGTCGGTCTCTTACTTTTTTCCTGGCTGGTGAGAGACGCCTGGAGACACTGCGACAGAATTTGCGTCCACCCTAGAGAGAACAGAGCTCTGGTCTCGTCTCATCTGTCCTCCTGTTGGTGACTCAGGCTCGCCTGGATGCACTATGGCACTTGCTTCACCTCCTCCACCTTCGTATTGACTGGAGAAAGTCGTCCGCAGACACTTCGTCAGTAACCATGTTTCCATCTCACCAAAGGAACGCCTGGAGACACTTTGACAGTATCTCCGTGCCCTTCACCTTTTCCATTTCATAAGACAGGCTAATGAGAGACGTCCGGAGACAGTGAGGCAACGGCGTCACCTCCTTCATCAAGTCCATCAAGTCCCGTCTCCTCCACCTTCCTACTGCCTGGTGAGGGGTCCTTGGAGACGCTGTGGTCGTTGTCTCCTGTCTCCTGGAGAGTGCGTGTTCTCCTGGTCATCTGGTCATTACCAACGACGCCGGAGGGTGAGACAAAGGAAATATTCTTACCTCGTTCCCGACTTGTGAAAAATACGAATGGTGCCGAGGCGTCCAGCATTTTCCCAATCTTGTCCTTTGTCTCGGGTGTTTTTTACGGTCGTTTTTACCCTGAAGGTTGGTGGAAGTTGTAGCTCGTTTCCCATATTAATATAAAACTTGTACACCCATCACCGTCTCCTTTGGTCTTACCTACAAAGAGTAATATTACACTCTACCGTACTTAGTATTTTTTCTATTGCTGAGAGTACTCGTAAAGGGACTGTGTAATGTGATTGTTTCTTGGTGTGTGTGTGTGTGTGTGTGTGTTGTGATGATTGTGTATTGTCAAGTGTCAAAATGTACTTTAAGCTGAAATATACTGTAATTTACATTTCTGCCTCTATCACTACTTTCACCTCCTGTACCTCTGGGATTATGCTCTATATCTGTAAGATTCTGTGTTCATGTGATAATCGATGGATTTCAGTTGTTATAATGCTGTATCATCCGGACACGAATGTCATAGTCGACCACTAACAGTTTAGAACCTTAACTGTATATTCCTTAAACACTAGTTAAACATCGTCACTTTTAAACCTTTGTTCTATATCATCCAAACACTGGATAGTTGACCATCAGTACTTTAAAACTTTTATACTACTCAAATGCATACACATATTCGACCATCCAAAACTCTCGACCATTCATTATAATTCAAGTATTTTCCACACAGCAATCCAAATACAACCAACTTCATGATTTAGCCGAAATGAACTGACAATACCTGTCCTCTCCACAGGTAAGAGGCGACGAACTTGTGTGTTCTGGTCACGTCGTTCAGAGTTCGACCCTCGGCAACGGCAGGTGTGTCATGAGGGGGAAACTGTCGTCTGCAGGTTGTCCAGTGTAGTAATTACCTCCTGCAGGTGTGCCAGTGAGTTAAAACTGCATGTTTTTGTTGTTGTTTTTATTTTCATGGAAGAAAATTCCTTTCCCATATGTGTCAGTGACGTAAACTACCTTATTGCAGGTGTGTCAGTAAGGTAAACTACCTTTTGCTGGTGTGTCAGTGAAGTAAACTACCTTCTGCAGGTGTGTTAGTGAAGTAAACTACCTTTTGCAGGTATGTTAGTGAAGTAAACTACACTCTACAGGTAAGGCAGTGAGGTAAACTACCTTTTACAGGTGTGTCAGTGATCTAAACTACCTTTTGCAAGTATGTTAGTGAAGTAAACTACCTTCTGCAGGTGCGTCAGTGAGGTAGATTACCTTTTGTATGTGTGTCATTGAGGTAGACTACCTTCTGCAGGTGTGACAGTGAGGTAGACTACCTTTTGTAGGTGTGTTAGTGGGGGTATTAATCTTTGCAGTTGGGTTATTGGACTCTCCATTAGTTCTTTCCCATTCCACCAATCACTGCAGAGTCCGCCAATAAGTGTACAGTATATCAATTGTTATACAGTCCATCAAATATTATATACCCCATCAATTATTACACACCCCATCAAATATTTCACATCCCCTAAATTATTACACACCCCATCAATTATTATACACCCCATCAAATTATTACATACCCCATCCACCTCTCTTGAACTCTCCACTACAGCAAGGGGATTCTAACACCTGAGTGGATGCTGGATGTGAGGTCTCGCCCAATAAAGGGATTTTTCTATATTGAGTCGATCATTTGTTGGCATTACTAGTCTATGTGACGGCACTAACTTGGTAATAAATTGAAGATCAATGCAGAGTCCCTGGAGCCAGTTATCAGTCCGTCTGAATTGACTGTAGTTTCGTTTAACAAGTTAAGAGTATATTTACTGTGCTCGTGGTGACTTTTGTGTAATGTGGAGAGAGAGAGAGAGAGAGAGAGAGAGAGAGAGAGAGAGAGAGAGAGAGAGAGAGAGAGTCAATTTTATCGTTGATTTTTGCTCGACTCAACTAGATTTGTTTTAACAAACATTAACAAGACCAAAGTAACATTTACAATAGCTTTAAGCAAAACTGATGACCCCAAATTCATCGTGATAAAGCGTGTCCCTCCCCGAGACTTACAGCTTCCGCCCCGCCTGCTGTGCTCTCGACCTGAAGAAACGTGAAGTTTATTGCCCCTTGCCCAGCCCTCAGACCCGCACGCGAAACCTCCTGGACAAGGGGTTAAAATAGACTAAGTCCTGTGGTGGTGAATCACAAGACATTTACAATGATTCGACAGACTGGTGAATAATTCATATTGTCAGCCAGACAAGGCTTGAATAGGTCCTCCAACGTCAGTGAATCACTAGACATGGTCAATGACGGATTGTATCGCTGAATAAATCAACTTTGGTGGAATTCACTAAAGAACGATAAATAAAACTGGGAATGGAGGGGGCAGATGAGAGACATGCAGAGGCAAGGAGACATATCGCTTTAATCTCGTAGTTTCCTAGAGTGAGGAAAAGTGGTGTTCAGGACTAGAGTGCCTCAATCCATCCCGGGGGTCGTGAGAAAGGCGTCAGCTTCTGGCCCCAGTCCAGCTCCGGGGGAGGAGGGGAGAGGAGGACGAACCATTGCCTTCTGCCTCACACACACACACACACACACACACACATACTCATGGCCAGTAGTTAGTACTGGGTGAGATATAAACATCGACATTCGTCTGTATATAAACATTGGACAAATATACCACTGATTATACCCCAAGTGAATGTGACAATGTTGATGTTATATTGTATTACTTGTCATAAATCATTAAAAGTTATGAGATATATTTCCTTGGTTGCGATACATTACATTCGAAATACTTATTGTTCATCAGTAATGAAGACTGAATGTTTATAAACACATTTTATCTATTAGTAGGTTACTGTAAATGAGGACTCTTGTTGGAGCTCATAAACTCATATTGTGTTTATTTCTGATGTACGATATAAAAACTCCCACTAGCGATAGTCTCTGAGTTAACAGAAGGATTTACTAGAAACTTAGTTGTCTTCGTCTCAGTCTGCTTTAACTCTCCTCCCGAGATGTTTGTTTTAAGTGTAAAAGAATGGCACGCGGAGTTTCCAAACGGGATTTCGGGCTGGGGTAAACTTTTCTTCAGTAACTGTTAAGAACAATTGACTGTAGAAGACAAGAGAATAAAGAAGACGTCATTTGGTGTTAAAAGTTTAGAATGGAGGTCGTCTGTTGCACCAGTAATGGAGACAAGGATTACAGGAACGCTTCACCCTATGTCCCGTACACAACTAACACCACACACGCTCTACTGTACATCACATGTCCACTATAAATGTACTTGAATTAGGTTTGACAGTCCCGCAGTCTGACGTTTTTGAAAGCTCTCCCACCTAACCTCCCCCAGGACATAAACACAGTCGCAACCGAAATTAAAACCACAGCCATAGTCGGAATCACACCATAGCCACATCTACAGACATACAGACAGACATACCCACAGTCATAGCGAGGACCACAGCCACAGTCACCCAATACCCACAACTCCATGTACTCCCCAACTCACAGCCACAAACACGGTAGACCGGCGGTTGTGAGGGTTCAGGGTGATGGGGGCCTCTCTAATGATGCACTAACGAGGCTTCTTATCCCGATACGACCCGTTCTTGTGACCAGAGGCGGCGGCACCAACTTCTGGCCCAGACTCCCTGACGACGACGCCTCTTCCTCTCCCGGAGCGCGTCTCTCGTCCTCACCGACACTGTTAACCATCCCTCCCGGTTCTTCGATATCCACACCCACGCCTCCACCTTACCACCCCGTCCTTCATTATCACGTAGGTCCTACATCTCTCTCGCCTACTTATCCTACTCTCTCCATCCAGTATTATCCTAGAGTCGTTCCCCTGTCTTGCCTCCTCTCTGCTGCACTACACTGTTATTCTTCCAATACTCTTAAGTTTTAAATTTATATAACCACCATGTTTTTATATCCCAAAACACTGTTATCCTTTATCCCTACTCACTAATATCTTTTCATCCCTATTTACTATTATCCTTTTGTCCCTATCCTGTTATTCTTCACCAGCAACCTGTCCCCTCCGTCAGAAATCCTGGCCGGCACATACAATAGAGCGCTATCCTACGCTTCACTGTCCTGTTATCATTCTTTAGCCACATTGTTATCTTGACTCGGCTCCATCATTATAATGAGTTATCCTTTACCGCATTATCTCTCTCTCTCTCTCTCTCTCTCTCTCTCTCTCTCTCTCTCTCTCTCTCCGTTATATTATATCTTCTCTACTCTTCTCTACCATTATGTTGTATTGTTATAATGCTTATTCTGTGTTATCTGTGTGTGGTGGCCGAGTGTACACAACACTCGCCTCCAGTCCTAAGGGTCGCTGGCTCGCATCCGAAGCACCCACAAGTCCTCCTCCTGGCTGCCATCCCTACCTCCTCCCTCCTCATGGTAGCTATCCCTACCTCCTCCCTCTTCATGGCTGACTCCTCCTTCCTCCTCCCTCCTCATGGTTGCCATCCCTACCTCCTCCCTCACCCGGTCATGCGCCACACACACACACACACACACACATTCTCTTTCTCTCACAAAACCACAACTTTTCTCAGTGATTCTTTCGTCAAGGTCAAGTCAGTCCCTCGGTAACGAAGCTGTCACATTTTTGGCGGAGGCTTCATGACGTCGCCGAATATGTGTCTTGAGAATTGTTTATAATATCCACGGTGCGCTGGGTTTATGCCGCGCCACTGGAAGCGTCTATTGCTGGGTCGCTCAACAGTGAACAAAATTCCAAAGATTTTTCCTCAAAAGTTTCATAGCGGAAGCATTTTTATCCGACACAAAGTTGGGACAGGGGTGTTTTAACAGCCTTGTTTGGCTGCCTGGTTTTTGTTACCGAATGTCTCTAGTTTGTGGATGACTTGGCCGAATGGTTAGCGAATTGGTTTTAGTATCCAAGATTTGGGATCAAGCTCGTGCCAGTGGCCTGAGTGGTAGAGAGGGTCGGTGTCACATACAACACACTTGTCTCAGGCGTCAATGGCTGCAAGGTCCTCCACGAGAGTGAACTGCAGGCTTTGGGTCATACTGGTTTTATGTCCCAGGAATATGGCTGCATCCACGACGAACTGAATAACCTACACGGGGAAGACCTGCGACGTAGCTCCTCACATAACCACTGTTTGGTTTATATCATCGCTCATGCAATAAGGTTTCCTCGAAAGTGATTACATTTTAATTCCTTTGTGAGTGTTTATGTAACGGATGTGTGGAAATTTCTGTTCCCCTCCACACTATCGTTTATCCTGCCCTTCCACCACCCATCACACTATCGTTCACCTGCCCTTCCACCACCCATCGCACTATCGTTCATCATAAATCATTCTCTATTCATCGATTCTATGTTAAGCCCCTGAACCATCGGGAGGAGGAAACTCATAAACGAAATTCCCTCAATCTCCGGCAACGCTGTAGGACTCGCCTCACCTACCTACCCTCCGGCGAGTGTCATGAAGGAAGACCTCGAGACCGTATTTTCGTCTCCGCTTTACATAATTTTTCATTTTATTTTTCATAGTTTACTGATAAAAATATGAGGATTTATGAGACGCAATCAGCTGGTCCTTCCAATATCACCGATCAATCAGTTGGCAACTCAGATGGTCTCCTTATTATCGCTAGTCACTCAGCTGGTCTTCTTACTCTCACAAAACACTCAGCTGGTATTCAGATAACAACGTACCGCATCCATAGACAGATACAAATGTAAAGAGAAAAAGACAGACAGACAGACAGGAAGCTAAGACAAACTCACCTACAAGATTACCAGGATCAGAGAGGCACACGTTCTCCTCCTCCACCACCACCTCTTCAATCTCCTACACCTCCTCCTCTACTTCCTACACCTCCTCCTCTATCTCCTACACCTCCTCCTCTACTTCCTACACCTCCTCTTTAACCTACTACACC